AAATTATTCCTGTTTCTCTACGTTTCAAGCTGTGTTTTCTTTTTTTTTATTATTTCAACATTTTTCCTTCCAATATTCCTGTGACTTCCCTGTTCCTCTTTCAAACGAGCCTTCATCCATCACCACTTTCCTTAACATTTCTATCCTTTCACTAACTATAGTTATATACAGGATGGACCAACAACTCTGTTCACCTGGAATATCTCCGTTATTTTCATAGATATGGAAAAACTTTATTTGCAAAAGTTGTACAATACAGAGGGGACCTAATAATAATTTTTCTTCTAAGTGGAGGGTTTTCGAAGATTTCAAGATCACCTCTATATTTTTAAATACTCCTAGTAGAATAGCGGATGTTTGATTGTAGCACACCCTACTATGATTCATTATTTCATATTTCGTGGCGTTATCGGCTTTTCTACGCTCAAGAGGATTTTCCCAAATCGATAGATAAGACATGGTAGGCCAATTTCGTGGCCAGCTTGTTCGCTCGAAAACTCTACTTGATTTCTTCCAAGAAATAATATAATACTGTGACAGAAAAGTGGCAACGAGAAGAACGAGAAGATAATCGAAAAATCTGACGATATACGAGTACATTTGACGTATAAATACATCGATGTTTCGAAGATTGTACAGTAACATCGAGCATTCTCGATAACTGCAATAAAATTTTCAAACAATGAATCAACATATTAGATCGCGATCGAAAACTGCGCGTTAGACACGGCGTGCTTCGTCCAATCTTATCGGCCTAATCGTGTGAAGAACTTTGTGTACATCGTGAACAAAATAGACGAGTAAGTATATCCCAGACTACCGCAGATTAAACGCCAGCACAAGGGGTTAACGAAAGCGAAAAAGAAAACTACGATACAACGATCGATATACTACGTATGATCGCTAAACGCCAATGAATACATCGAACTCAGAGACGATCATCTGACGAATCAGCAGAAAAACATTTTTCCAGCAGCCTCGACAAAACGGTAATATCTCGAAGTAAGAAAACTTAGAAATTAATCAAAATACAAATCTGAACTTTAAATAACATCACTTATCAATTTTCTCCAAGAATTACGAGTATTTAAATAAAGAACTATCGACGATCGTCGTCGACACATAGAGCAACGAGAGAACGAGT